AATGAAAGCTTTAGCGCAAGTTCAATAAGGAAGACCCTAACAATGAGTCACTTACACGTCACTCTGTTGCTCTCTCCCCCCTCATTAAACATGTGGGCTTCACCCCTCAGCAGCCAATTGCTGCACACGTTAAAATCCTTAAAATGCCTGCTCTTCCTTCCTGTCAGTTGTCATTTCAGGTGACCACACGCAACCCTCCTCCACCCCTCTCGCCTCCCGTCTCCTCCAGGACAAAGCTAAACCTTCCTATGTAGAAAATAAACGTATTTAACATTCGTTCATAAGAAACGTAACGTGGGAGACAATGTTTCTAGAAGATATGTAGAAAATAAACGTATTTGAGATACGTTCATAACGAACGTAACATGGGAGAAAATATGTTTCTAGTTAAACGTAATTGAGAATGCAGTTTAGTTCTGTGGGAACGTAATTTTTAGGAGACAGGTTGCTCGGCATCAGGAGGTAAACTTGCACCTGTCCAGATAGAGCTCCGGTTCCCAAGCCAATGTCCCATGTACTGAGATATTGATTTTTGCACATTAAAATATTCAAACATTTTTAAATAAAGCAAAGGTTAATGTAGAACATGAGCCAATTATTTGGGAAAGCGGTAATAAATACAATGTAAGCATATCTTTTATATCAAATGCATATAAGACAGCGAATGAAAAACAAGAGTCTAGGGTGAAAATGTAACCAACGGGGCACAATTAGGAGAATATAACTCAGGGGAAATTATCCATACAACAGCATCGTTTTGTGCATTCATTTTTGTAGGATTCCAATAATGTCACATTTATCAGAATAATGGTTTCACCTGTGGCTTCTCCTGTGTTTTCCCTGGTAAAAAAACATTTGCTCATTCTGGTGCGTCTATCCCACCTCCACCTGTGTCCAATATGATCATTAGGTGCCCGTAACGGCCTTCAAAATAAAAGCATACAGAATAACTTTTACTAACAAAAGAAATCACAATAAATAAAGATTAATTTAATATAAACAAAAACAGCTAGAAAATCAATGTCTAATAAAAATATAGCTCCAACAATGAGTAAAATCTATCGAGTGTCGAGAACCTCATCTGGCATGAAATGTAGTTCATATTCTCCCTGCTCCCAACACCTGAATTCTTTGGAACTCAAAAAAAGGTTGAAATCCACTGAAGCTATTTTATGCAGCAAGGAAGCCTTGGCATAGTTCACACGTACATCCGTCTCCTAGGACGGCAAAATTAACCTCCGAACACACCGGACCTTTTCCCGGGAGTCAGGGGGCTAATAATGATGACAGACTCTGGGCTCTCTTTGTCCTCTGGGAGGGAAAATTTGAAGGAAAGTGAGGTGTACTCACATCAAACATGGCTGATATATGAAAAAGATGAGGTGGGGTGTTCGAATGGCAAGTACAGAGGCGATGAGGGTGGTATAGAGGTGAAAAAGCACATTGTCAGATACTATCACTCTCCCCAAAGGAACCACATCAAGCCCCTCAGCACCTGCCTGAGCGCTGACTGTGACATTTATCCATGCTGCTATGACTAAAGCGCGACCAGACAACCCTGTCTGAAAACCAAACATCTGACTGGTCCATCTTGGCGGCTGCGCTGAAATGAAGCTGTCATTTCCGCCGCCGCTCTTTCACTGTGTGTCACCCTGTGGGAGAGATTGATGCTCAACCTTTTCTCCTCTCCTATTCAGCTCCTTTGGTGGGATTAGGCGATTTGAAACGTTGATGGAGTTCAGACAGCTACAAATGAGCACGCAGATACATCTTCATTATGCCAGGGAGTGCTCCTAAAACATTATCATTAGTCTTCAAACCTCAAAAGCTGGCCTTCCAAGTATAGGCTGTCATTTTAAAAGCAGCCCCATGTGTCTGGCTCCTGTCTGCTGCCATTCAGCCATATGGATCTGAGATGGGTGATGAAGTTTTACAATATGTCTTAACAAGTTTCATCAGTAGATTTTTGCATAAATGGGGTGGCATGTTCAATAAACTCAAGACAGAAGGAGTGCAGCGAGGCCATACACATCAAAATGTGTTCCTACAGGGAAGGAATGTACTGTCCCTCCTAAAATACAAACATTTAAAAGGCTGTATTATGATCATGATGCTTTAAACAACCACATCTGCCTCTCTCATTAAACCTGTAATCCAGGGCCGGCCCTGACCAATTTGCTGCCCTAGGCAAGATTTTAGCTGGCACCCCCCCCCAAATGCAGACACTCAGTATGACTCGCACATGCACGGTTGTGGCATGAGAAAACGGAAAGATATGGACACAAGATTTGTGCAACTCTATTTAGTATCCTATCCATTTGAACATGATTTAAGTGAGGGGGGACCTCACCTCCTCTAGGGGGGTCCGGGGGCATGCACCCCCGGGAAGACGATTTATTTCTAAATATTGAAGTTAAAAGCATCAATCTGGTGCACCTTGAGAGCAAAATGAAGAGATCTATGGATACATCTCTCAACACCCATATGAAACAGAACTGTAAACAGATTTACTTTTTCTTTATGGATATTTTACAAATCACCCTTTTAAACTTTATTCTTTTTTTACTGTCATATAGTATTTCATACCTGTTTTTCATTTATTCTCTTATTTTTTTATAACTATAGCCTAATGATCGTATAAACGTGTGCCTCGGAAATAATTGTTTACATCAAAACGTTTGAGACTCACTGATATAACTTAGACTATAGTTAACTATCTAAACACTCAGAGAGTCCTTTAGCTCACTGAGCCTCTCAGTCTGACAGGAGAGTTCTCCCTCCAATTTGTTGTTGAAGAAACTCCTTATATCCGTTAGCGTAGCTCGCTAGCACCAGAAGCTAACAACACTGATCTCCGGTACATGTGCTCTCTCTCTCTCTCACGCACGCACACAAAATGGCTCGTTCCACGCACGCACGCACGCACGCACGCACGCACGCACGCACGCACGCACACACACACACACACACACACACACACACACACACACACACACACACACACACACACACACACACAGGGGATTTGAGGGATTGAATAAGGAAACATTTGTAAATGAGAATCACCAACTGACTTGTATAAACCCAGAGACCTTTAGAGACTGGTTTGGAATAGAATAATGTTGGATTGTGAAACTACTCCGAATTCAAACCCATGACTAATCAGGACGAGTGTTGGAGGATCTTCCCTCTCTCCTCTTTACCTCCCCCTACTTATCCTGCTCATTTCCATATCCCATGTCGATGCAGACAAGCGAGCAACTTTCTTGTTGAACTCAGTGTGTATTCATATTCAAACTTACCTACTGTACTTAGACAGTCCCCTAACTAACCTCTCTGCACTGGTTCAACTCCACATTTACAGGCCTCCCTCCTTTCACTGGAACAGGCAGAGATTCTCAGCAGGAAATCAGCATTTCTCGTGTGTGAACGGAGCCATTCCACACGCTCAGCTTTCCAATTATAGTACATCCCGCTTAACTGATGCTTATTAATTCCTTCAAACTCATTACGGCAAGCAAAATAGGGCTCACCCATGAGATGAATACTAATGAAAGGGAAAACTTCTCGTCGGTGCTGCTGCTTTCTTTTTGTTTAGATGTCTGCTTTAGGCTCCGGCACAC